ACCCAACAAAGTGAACAAGGAAGAAAATCAAAAGCATGTTTATTTAGAACCCTAAAATAGTACGTATTAAAAAAAAATATATATCTGCAAATACTATTTCAAACCACAGAAGAAAGATGATATTAATTTTGTAGCAAAGAAGCAATAAGAAATGTTACATGGATCAAGTATTGTCTTCTGCCAAGAGTTTAGCTTACAGGAAATTCAGGCCGGGAATAGGGAAGAACCAGAAGGACTTCCAGTTTTGTCCAGGAGGAAATCCCTCTTTTCCCCTTCCACAGACACATATACAGGGCTTCTGACCTTTTTGGTCAGTCCTGCAGTGAGGAAGATTAAACTTAGAGTAAATACTGAACAAATAACCTTAGAGCTGACAAAAACAGTAAAGAAAAATTCAGTGGGTAGACAAGTCTGAGAAGAACAAAGGGGACCAACACAGGCACTAAGGAACAACAGGAACTGTTTAATTAAAAGCTTATGGAAGGATCTCCTCCACAATAACTGGCAAACAGGAGCTGAACTTGGATCATGCTTAAAATAAAGCCAAAGTGTTTTGGAAACAAGACTAGAATAAAAGTTACTACTAGATGTTGTGTAAACTAAATATCATTCTTCCATTTAACTTGAAATTATTGAGTAGATATTTATTACAATAACAAAAAAAAAAAAATCTGCTCAGCTCTTGCTGGAAGGCCAGTTAAGAGCAGCGAGCAAGAAGTATTCATCTGGACTTGTTTGAATAAGATAGAATTCATTAGTAATTTATTAACAGTCCTGTATCAACACGATTTAAAAATTCAAACAAGCTCATTGAGAAATGAGATAAAAATCAAACAAACAGTGCGCAACGAAACAAGGACAGAGGACCACCTACGTTCTTCCTGAAACTTGTTATCACTGTTCAATTTTTTGTGGCTGCTCATTAATTTGGAGTTATCCACATCCTAAAAACTCTTCTTTCCATGAAAGTTTAGTGAGCGTAACAGTGAGTTTTTAGTAAAATGTTCACAGAACACTGTAACAACAAACAGCCAGAGAAGATACTTGCCATTAAAAAAAAAAAAAAAGTTGAAACCAGAATTAAAAACAACCAATCAAAAAAATAAAACCCACTCCTTATTTGCAAACTGTTTATCATTCCCATGGAAAATTTTACAACCTAGTTATATGCTTGTATGGTTGGTGAACATACACAGGGGGATAAGAGTGGGGGATTTACACAAGCACAAATCCACTGTAAGAGGGAAATACTGGCACTGGATAGAACATGGTAAAACATAATGTTTCCACATCACTATTGTTTCCAGACAGACCCTGCTTCTGTAATTCCACACACAAGGCAATGTGCTGTTCTTTTTTACCCCTTAGCTCATTCAGTATCTTTCTTCCACCTGATTTAACATCTTAACCAAAAAACCTGAATCAGGACATCATTATATGAGGTAAATGAAAAACTTAGAAAGTTTTAAAGTTAATCTAAAACATATAGACAGTCAATAAAGACAAAAGTTAAATGGCACCTAGGATGTGAATGGACCATTTGAAGAGGCCAGATGAGCAGGGCTCTCCACTATAACACACTGTAAAGCACAGTTTTGCAGTGCCTGTTTAGACATCATACAGCAGCTAGCCTCCAAGGATATTGCTCACTAGTTCAGCTGCACACTTCAACTGGTCCTACACAGTCTGCCCAGGAATCGGAGGAGGAAGACCTTCCTCTATACAACAGACCCCAGAATCATCAGCTAGGAACTGTATGAAGAACCACACATACTTATGTCACTTAGGTTGTTAGTATTTCACCTTGTTCCAAAACTCCTCTTAAGGAGGAAAAAAAAATCATCAGATTCCAGAAATGTTATCAAGAATCAGGTGAGTTACAGAAAAATTGGTTTCTACCAGATACTTAAGAAACTTCAAAATTTTCAAATCTGGCCCACAGCTGGCACTCAGGCAACTGAGTGTCAGGAGATGGGAGCACAGCAATATATTGCTCCTTGGAAAGAGACACAGCAGCTGCTGCAGAACGCACAGCACAATCGCATATTATTCCCTTCTCCAAACACAACCTAGAATCTAAGAATATAGAGAGATCAGCCTGGGGAAAAGATTTGCAACTACATGAACTTTATCGTTACAAGGAATATGCAATACAGAGACTAGCTGAGTTGCTCTCACATTTGGAGCAAACACCTGTCAAGCTTCAAATATCCAACTTTGAGGCACTAAGTAAAATCCCAGTTTTCTTATGTTGAACTTCACCCCTTAATATCAGAAGCCTGTTGACAAACAGGTATCACTTCTCATTTCACCACCTGCCCAGGATAACTGCAGCAGGACAGGCTGCTCCAGACACCAACCAGATCCCTCAGGAATGTAAAGCCTGCTGAACTTCCCAGACACAACTAAGGGGAGCGGTGTACTTTACATCACCTAGCAGCCCTTCTCTTACGGATTTTCTCCAGACAACACCCTCTTCTGCACAATGCAGCATACTCGGCAGTGATTCTTGCATCACACAATCCATACCTCTGCTCTGAGCAAAGCTCCTGGGACAGGGGCTGCAAAAATCATTAGTGTAGCCCATGTAATCATACATACAGCTGTAAATTCCAGCCTTGGGATTGAGTTTCTCTAAGGATGTGCCTGGACAAACGTGCAACATACTGTTCTTCCTGGTATTTCAAAGGACTTGTCATTTGCTGCATTCTACATTTATTCTCTATTCTCTAGCTTTATCTATTAGCTGCTCAAAAAGCAGCTTGTGTCAACCTGGGATTATATACTGCAAATAAAGCTTCCTGGAAAGAAAAAGCCTGAGCTGATTTATGTAGGGCAAGGATAACTGTCCTCAGTGTCTGCAATTAGGGAGAGACCAGTGACCCTGTACTCCAGGCCATCAATCACTGAGTCCTTTAGTTCCCTACAGGGTGTCAACAGCTCTGAGGGGTTCTCCATAATACAATTCCCACTAAGCTGCAACAACAGCAGAATACATTAAATGCAAAGAAAGGTCTGCAAAATTATTAGGCTTCATCTTGTTTGCCACATTGCTGCGGACAGAAATACAAAAGAAGTAGAAAAGTGAATGCTAAACAAGGCCATGTTGTTAAGACACAGAGTTTCAGGCTTGCTTGTGCACTGTGTTGTACTTCTATCAGTGCCAGAAGACTTTCGAAGAAGAGCATCAACTAATCCAAAGCCCTTGCCTCAGAAATGCAGAATCTGGAGCACTCTTCAGAATATCTACTAACAGGTATCAGGGTGCCCTCTACATTAGAGTAGGTGTTTGAAGACAGTACTCCAGAGAACTCTCCTGGAACTTTGAAAATGCTGCAAATTTCTCCCCCTTTCCTCCCCCCACCAGCTATAGATCTGTGTGTTCTTTTTATTCAGTAAGTTTCAATAATTACATTAAGTAAATAGTTTAACAAAAGGTTATAATTGCACTAAAATGAAATATATTGCTAACAATGTCACAGAGTAACCCATATTAAATTAATACCTTGTTCCCCCTAAACTTTTCCTTGCTTGAACTATAAAATAATTAAGCCCTTTAAAATACTGCATTTTAATGGTTTAGTTTTTATTTCAACATAGTCACTTTCAAATAGGGGGCTCCTTTGGAAAGGTGTGGTTTGGAAAAGTAGAATTGACAGCATGAAACACAATGACAAAGGACCAATTTGGAGAAGACACTAATTGAAAAGGAGATGGTATGCTGCAAATAAAGCAGCCTGCTTTCTGTAGATCACTTACTTGCCACATGATGCAGATCCCATCTTTCTAATCAGAAAAGACTAATACCTGATTGCCTCCCTACTTTTTCCTTATCTCAATTCCATACGAGCAAACTCTGATGAGCCAGCTCTGCTGATACCTATCAAGCTTCCAGCAGAATGTTACTTTTTATTAGGAGGGATAGTTATATCTAGCAGACATGCATGAGGGTACAGTACAGTAGATGTAGCAATCATCCCCAGATAAATCAGAAGAATGGTCTTCAAGAGCTTATGGCATGATTTTTACAAGTACTTGAAGAGTGAAGGATAAATTCTAACTCATGATATACATTGTTCATTTTGCTTTGTTCTTCTAATTATGGAGAAATAGGATTTCTACCTTTAAGATAATGCAGAAGTGAATTGTTTCAGAGGGACTCTGTCTACAGAAAGGAAACTACCTTCAAGATAACCCTTGTTCATCCTCCCCAGCCCTATACAAAACAAGAATCCAGGAGGAAGAAAGTAGCCCCACTGTTTCCTCAAGCAAAGAAGCTAGGTGCCTAGGCCAATACTCCCTTTTACTTCACTAAAGCTAACTCTTTATCATCCACCTCCACAGTTCACAACTCCTTAAAGATACCTCAACATACTGCTATTTTTAACCACTTGTCTCCCTCATGCTTGTAAATCTGCTGTTGAAACGCTCTATTTACTTTACAAGCTCGTGAAACACAAAAGAGTTGCAGACTGAGTGTTAAGTAACTACACACAAAAAAAACAGTCTCAGGTCCCTTCCCACACAAATGAGATAGTTCTACTTGCACTGCCTCTGATTTATAAGTAACCACTTCTCCAACACAACATCAGTTTTTATTTCTCAGGCTCAGTCTTCCCAAGTACCACAGCTTAAAGCTTTTACCTCACTTACAAGACAATAATTCTAGCTACCACTTACTAAACACATGAGTTTTTCATATAATATCTACTGATACTAGCTTCCAATTATTCTAAGAACGTTATGCAATTAGAACAGAAAGTACATGAAAAAACAATACAGATTTTCACTGTGTGACAAGAAGGAAAATAAGAAGCTTTTTTCTTTCCCTCTTTATACATTCAATTTCACTAAAATACACCTGAATTCAGAAGCTTTCATGCTTGATTATAGGCCTCACACCTTCAACTCAAATGACAAACACATTTGAAATAATTACATGTCATCAGATTCAGTCCAAAAATAACATAACTAAAGTAAAAAAAAAGACAACAACTTACTGTTAGATGTTTATGTCCAAATCTTTAGGATATCCTTACACACAGTATTGTTTTCCTTCAACGTAGACAGAAAGAATTCTCCAAAAGAAAGGCATTTGAGCCACAAATCCTTTGTTTGTGGTAGCGAAAAAGAAAAAGCAATCAGTCACACTATAGAAAGGCTACCAGAACAAACACTTAAAAAGGGGGGGAAAGGAAGGGGAAAAAAAAAAAAAAAAAAAAAAAAAAGCCTCAGCTGAAGTAAATTACGAGAGGTTCGTTTCTGTCAATCTCTATCAGCTGAGGATGTGTATCCCTACACCTGGAGTCTGCAGCCTCTTTGCTAGGCAACGATCAGCTACCTTGGCACCATGCTTGGGTGTGCAAACTGAAATTAGAAATGGGGAATAAATTCTAAGCACATGGTTTTCCTTCGCTGTATATGTAAAACAAGTCTGTTATGCTCTACAGTGTGCTTTTTAGTCCTGCTCTTAGGTGTACAGAGTGAGACAACCCAACATCAGGGCAAGTGTGTTTCCACAGTCTTGGTTCACTGACTACCTAAGAGATTTGATTAGGGGGGATTTTGTATTTCTGCATCCTGAACACTTACATTTCCTTGTGCAAGAAAACAGAACAAGTGATGAGATAGCGCAGGCACTCGCAATTTGTCTGCGGCACAGGCAGGATATTCCAGAATTAGCAAAGCTAGCAACGCAGCCTCAGTGCCCCACAAACAGGCTGTGAAGTTCAGAAGCAGAGAGCTGATGAAAGAGCTCAAGGACTAGAGTCCCAAGTGCTACTGATGAGGATCCATGTGGCCCACCTGGACTGCAGCTCCATCTGGCTCTGCCAGAAATCGGTTTGTCCTAATGATCTGAGAACTATAGGAAGTAGTAATTTTCAGGATTCTTGCCAGTAATTCATCTTTTACTTTTTACCTCTTACCAATGCAGAAGAAATGTAATGACACATCACACTCTAATATTTCATAAATTATATCTAATTTCTGCAGAACAATTTTATAACTCGAGGTTTCTTAGTAACATTTCCCAAAAACTCTCAAGTATCACTGTTTTCTCCAGACCACATAATAATATGATGGCAGAACGTTCTGTAAACCTACACATATATGTATGTCTGTGTCTTGCACTGCCAAGCCGTGTAGCTGTTGGGCAAATTTTGGCAGACAGAGGGCTCTGGGATTAGTTGCAAAAGGATATTTGCATATAGCTCTGTATTTATAGAAAGAAGAAAAGTGCCACTGGATTTTACCTTTGGAAAAAAAAAAATAGGTATAAAAATCTTGATATAAGCTGAGAAATTTAAACATTTTTCTCTCAAGTTAAAAGTCAGATTAGAGTTTGATTTCTAGTCAGACAGACTATGTTCATACTTATAATGACCTTTTTGTGCACATGCTCAGATTGTTTCTAAGTATAGACCGTGCCTGTGTATGCTGCCTGGATTTGTGAAGTCTGAATTTGAACAAGAATTATTTTATTTCCCTATTCAGTTATCCCCAGGCTGATTTTCAGTGCTCAGTGATATATCTGCCTTGCTCCAGGCTAAAGGTAACTTGAAATGCAGTGGGCAGTCTGGGTTTGACTGCATAAGATACACACATAGTCACCTCCTTTCAAGAGGAAAAACAAGAAAAAGGAGTGCAATTAGGGAGATATATCACAGGTACAGCAAATTAAGGTAAATTATGATGTTGAAATTCAGAGTCTACTGAATCATGATCACACTTGAACTGCATTAAAGTCAGTTTGCCTTATGTGACCAAAAACTCCAGAACTCTGCTGAACAATTCCTGCAGGACTCTGTAGCTTTATTCCAAGTCCTCTTGAGAGTCAGCAATTTCATTTGTTACAAAAATAAAATATTTTAAACCAATATATATAATCGTATCATTTGAGCAAATTGTCCCAGAACTCAAAAACCATTCCTGATTGCTAGTGCTCCTTAGTGAAGTAAATCTTTATTCAGGAATCACTTTTTTTTTCCTCTTAAAAGTTACCAGTTTCTGACATTTAATCACTATTCACTCAAAAATCCCTTCTCTCCCCTATTTTATTTTTCCTTTCCACTTTCCAATTGCTTCAAAACACTGAAAGGTATGTCATCTCCATCTTTGCTTCTAAAGGATCTTGTGGACTTCTTATTAACTCCACTGAATTATACTTCTCAATATTACCAAGGCCTCCTTACCTCAGTCATGTCCTTATTAGCACATAGGCATATCTCTCACCTTTCTTTTTGTTTAACTTCTGGCTTTACATGCTCATTTGTTTCCTAAGGTCTGAAATACTTTTCCTCATCTTGTCTCACTTTTCAAATCATTAGTTTATTTCAAAACCTTGACCCTTTCTATAAAAGGTCTTACTGAAAAACACCTCAGCTTCAAGGTATTTCAGGGGTTTCACCAGAACTAAATAATTGAATGAGAAATGGATAATTTATTTTCATTCCCAAAATATCAAGCACCTGGAATGTAAAGCTAGTCACTATATGTCAGTTGCATATTAAATGATGCTTTACATACAACACGGCCCAAGGGCTGAGATGCAACCATGACATTCTATTGAACCATTTCCCAGTTTAACCTGAAATCTTGGAGGTGCATACTCTGCTATTCACTTTTATCTTAACATTTCTGAGTTGAAACTTAAAAAGGAGATTTTTTATACCCTTACTCAAGATTATGATAATCCTTACTTTATTAAATATCTCCAAGCCCAGTTCTAGAGCAAATTTCGGACACAAACAGAATAATGAGAGTGGAATTTAACTATTAGCTATTTACAAGCACATTTCAAATACAGTTTATAAAGGAGACAGGAAAAAAAGGAAACTATAACTGTCTAGCAGATAGATGAGGGAGGTATATACTTCTGCATATTCTAGAACATTAATAGCAATAACATTTCTTGTCTAGCTCATCTTGGAAGCCAGTCAGTCATAACCTCACATTATACTCGATCTCTCAAGAATTAAGACTGCATTTTCAGAAATGTTTCAACTGCACACCTGAGGAGCACACTAAGCTTCTGCTACTGAGAATCTGTAACTAAAATTTTAAGTTCTCAGTTCTAAAGACCATTCTATTCTGACTGCCTGAGCAAGAGCTAAGAATCCGAAAGGATTCTGGGAAGCTGATGCATAGGTATGTTTGGTTTGGTTTGTGAGGCTTTTTTACTTTTTAGAAAAGAAAGACATTTCAGGAAAACTATAAGCCCCGTGCTAAAACATGAAACAACGAAAAGCACTAAAAATAAAAAAGCACTGCAGCAACTATTTTGATATCCACACCGATACACACTCAGCTTTACAGCATAAGGACCAATTTTTTTTATCAGCATCTCAACTTTTCTCAACTTATTTCACAAATTATCCCATTATTCCCAGGCCAAATCCTGTAAGGTTTTGTTACTCCCATGGCACTTGTTCAGAGCAGCAGATGTTCAGAGGAATAAAAATACATCTGTGTGTAGGCCAGCACCCATCAAATACAAAGTCTACTTTTTTAATCCCTAGGATCAGTTTCCAAGTGCTCTATAAATGTCATGAAGAGAATACAGTTGTTTCAGATCCAACAGAGTAGGTGTGAGCCACCTGAGGCCAATATAGAGACACAGGAATTTCCCTCTACACAGGCAACAGGCTGCTTTGATGAGCATGCTTTCAGCCAGCCAACTAGCAAATTTGACTCTAAAGGCAGTATCCAAATGCTGTTACTTGATAAGCCAGGATTAACAAAAAATGAGAGGAAACCACCAATGCGAGCACAAGGAGGATATGTCATTTCTCTGAATCCATGAGCTGGATGTGCCCGTGTAAGACCACAACTACAGCAGATAAAGGGCAGACAGTAGACAAAATGTTTTCATGGTAGCAAAATGATTCAGGAGAATCTCACATTGAAATTTGAGAATGAATACAGTTGTGGACCAAAACAGAAGATATAGTCACACAAAAGGGCTGTGGAACAGAGAAAGGAGTTGGAAATTACGGCAGTTCTTCATTTACAACAGATTAATGCAGTCAACATCTTCATATTAAATTACTGAGTTTGCAGGGAAAAAATTAGAACACTACATATGCTTTAATATCCAGAATTAAATTAAATACTTCATCTTCTGTTTCTTTAGGGCCTGTGCTTTTAATTTGTACAGCGGTTTCTAAATCTGCCTAGCCATTCGTGTTGGAGGGTGCAATTGCTTACTAAGAGCCCACTCAAACTGAGAGAATTCAAGTTTCCTGCTCCCATAGACCTCTGCAAGCTTTCTATTACCATCCAAAATGGAATATCCATAATTATTTCTAATTTTAATACTATGTAAGTTCTCTGTCATGTGAAACTGTAGACAAGCAAGATATGAGCCCCAGCTCAAGAGAATATTTCAAAACACATTCGGTTAATAAAAAAGTGATTCAACAAGTATACAAAAAAAGAAAATCAAAAACAGAACTTCTTTCTTTTTAGTCAATTTTCTGATTCAGAAACAGAAAAAAAAAAACAACACCAATGTAAAGTATTATTAATATCTTCAGTATTTTAAACACACCCAAAAACTTGTATTATTTTTTGCAGACATCTGCTTCATTTGTGTACTCAAATCAGAAGTGAATTCTGTGGGAATTTGTCAGAATATCCTCAACTCATCATTTATCTCAGATTTCTGATTTTACATGAGAATATGCAATCGGCACAAACAATCTAGTACACAAATATGGAAAAGTGTAGTTCACATCAGATAATTATAGAAGAATTATTTAGGAAATATACTGCAAAGCATTTTCCAACCAAAAAAAAGCCAATGATCAACCAACCTTTGCAATTTAGTGAGTCAGTGTGAGGGAAGGACCACCTTTTCAGTTCCCCTGATCAGTGTCAAGAAGCCTATTGCCTTTGGCAGGATTAGATCAAAACCATACTTGCAAAGGTGTTAATGACAGCAGAGCCTATCCTACCTCTGGACTACTGGCACAGGACAACACCACGTTAGCTTCAGCTGCTCTCCCACCTCCGGCTGTGTGGTGCTGCTCTTCCGCTGCAGCTTCCCCCCTTCAGTTGTGCCGCAGCAACTGTTTGTGGGAGCAGAGTGCAAGGCTGATCACTGAAAATAACCTTTTTGGAGAGTTATTTTTAACCTGGATCACTTCAGATCATGTCAGCATGGCCTCATAAACCATTGTGTGTGGATGGTGATGAACAGTAGTACAGGACAACAAGCTGCCAGCAGCATGTTAGGGGCAAACACAGCGTCCTTTAATCTGGTTTTGTCCCTAAAGGTAGAGTATTGTGAAACTACATCCTTGTCTAACAATTATGTGTAAAATACATGATACAGAGTGAATGCAGATCTTTCTGTCACACTCAATTAGAAAAAATGGCATTTCAAAATACTTAAAAGCCATAAAAATACTTTTCCTTTCTGCATCCCTGAAATTGAATATACACACAGAGAAGATATTTTGTAATTTTAGGCAATTATTCTCCTCACTTTCTCTATCCTCTCGGTGCAGTTCACTGAATCAGACATATAAATAATAAGTCAAACACAACTGGGTTTCAGCAGCATTCATGAGAGGAATCTATCCTAAGACACTCTCTGCATGGCAGCTATCAACAGCAGAAGCACTTCCTTCCAGTGCTAGCAACACAGTAAATTCAAGACCATTTTTCTAATAATAAGCAGGAGTGCCTGAATTAAAGATAAGAGTAAGTAAGATAAGAGTTAGAGCATGCATACATATATACACAGAAAAGAAACCCCTTTTATTTAGGAACAAAGAGGCATAGCTTGTAAAAATAGGAAAGTGAAGCTCTACTTGAGACTTGCTGATGTACATCCACCCACAGAGACTGAAGAAGTGTGCATAAATGTATATGAACTGAACAAACAATGAAGAAGGGAGATAAAACATTTTCCTAAGGAGCTCTCTCCATTACTTGACAGATGAGTGCTATTCCTCTTTCTCAGAAGCAATTCCCTTCCCCAGACTCCTGGGAAATAGATGCCATGAGGAGTTATTCTTAATAAAGAGAATTTCATAGGCCAGCAAACAGCAATTGGGCAAAACTCTCATTCTAGGAGCAGATTTTCTTTCATCTCTTCTATGCATTTTTCAATAGTCATAAGGCCTCTGAGTGTCTGTTTGAAGAATGACAGGCTGCAAAACCAGCAGCAAGAACAACTAGTTCAAATGGTGTTTCTGTACCCAAACAGAATATCAGTATTAGCTACTATAATTTCAGATTTTACATTATTTGTGTTGCTTTCACAACTCATCCTCTGAGATTGATATGTGAGTGACATTCCAGCCATCAACGATTTGGGATTTTTTTTTAATCCTGATTCATTGCCATGGAGCTAAAAAACTAACAGTATTTCATTTCAGTTAAGCCAATAAATACTGACCACATCTGCTTACTCCTTTTTGTTACTCCTGGTTGGACAAAAGTCTCAAGGCAGTTCAGGAGAGCAGAGTAAGTTCAACATTTCAAATGATAAGTATGCAGAAGAAAGAATAAATACATCCTATGTACTCAGTCCTCTTTTTTCAAGAGCATATTCTCTGCCTTTTTTCTGTTCTCTCTTCACAAGGTCTCACCTTCATGGAGCACAGTTCACTGTTCTTCTTTCCAATCTCTTGGTAACGTCTTGTTACCACAGCAATATCAGACATTAAAAATTGTACGTGCAACCAAATGGGGTTCTGGCAAAATTATATGGTAAATAATGCTAATATTTTCAAAAATTTGTTTGCCTTTGTTTTCATTGCATGCTGTTTGGCCTGCTGTCCTTAAAATTAATACATTGAAACCCTTCTGATAATCCATTAAATATTTACCCTTATAGTTTCCAGATTTTATAAATTCACCTATAGATGATGTATACAATTATCTATATACTTATATAAGTACATTCAGAGATTTCTTAAATACCCTCACAAAAAAAAGTGATGCATATGTATGCCTTTACATACTCTAATCTGCTGTTACATGTATATCACCTGAAGATCTGTAGATTCATCTTTCATTTCCCTGCCTGCTCCTTAACCCTCTATCATTTGATCTATTCATAGCATATGAAAACTGCCATCTGGATGATGCTTTACCACCACCCTGCCTTCAGCTTTCAGTGCAACAGGTTATCTCACACATTGAGCTGCCTTTTCCACAACTCTTATCTACAGTGGTGTGTGGAAGTCGTATTTACAAAATGGAAATCCATGCTTTGTTTCTCACCAGTTCAGGAGCCGGGTTATTTATGTAGTTTCATATGTTTGCTTGTATCTGTGACGTTTAGTAAGAATTGTTTACATATATTAGCACAGTAGCTGACTCTAATCCAAAGTAATACAGGCACTGCTTAAAAACTGCTAGTGCAGAACCCCAGGGTTACCTCCAATGGTGGTAGGAAACAACAGATGGTGTCATAAACCAGTAGCAATACTCACGGAGAGAATCACTTTCTTCCTCTGTCAGGTATCAGCCACACTGGGGAGGGATTCCCAAGTTAAAAGAAAGATTGTATTTCCCATTTTCACTGAAGCACATTTGAATAAGACTGTCATATTATAAGTTATCTTCTGTATTAACTGAAAAGACTGCCAAAGGTGATTAGATTACAAATTATCAGATAAACTTGCAGTCCAAAATAAGGTGGTGATGAATATTCCTTGGAAAATATTAGCCATTAATTCCATTTCAATCATCAAAACTTCTATCTGCCAAGAGTACGCATTCACATCACAACTAGAAAGATTTTCTTTGACAGACTTTACAGAATTGGGCTTTTTTATTGCATTTGAAATATGTGGCAAAACTTAAAAGCATGAGATAAACTACATAAATATTCTATTTTGTTCAACAGCATACAAAACAATCTCAGAAACAGTGATAGTTTCCTAGTGAGAAAACTAGCTAACTCTGCATTACATATATACCTATGAAATCATCCCAGTTTGGATTCTTACTTTCTTATGACAGCTGAACTACAAGATTACAAATAAAATTAAATTGAGAATTTTAATTAAATTAACAGTTGGCCATTGTTAAATATAAACAAATCTTTAACAATGTAGCTAATAATTATTCAAAATGAAAAGAAATTGTTATCTCTAAGAATAAAGAACTAAACAGAGAACTTGGCAAATGAGGGATAATGAGGGACAACTGTAGCACAACATATTTTTTGGAGCTGAGGTTCTGAGGAGAGATTGTTTGTTGGTTTTTTTGGTTGTTTTTGTTTTGTTTTTTTGGTTTTTTTTCATGTGGGCCTCTTTCTTCTGGAAGTGTGGAAAAAAACAGTTACATGTGTCTTTGCATATGCCAGATGTGACAATGAGATCAAATCCCACTTTGGGGAAAGAATTGCTTCACAGAGAGTTTGAACTTAGAAGAGCAAAAACTCAATATCTCCAAATTCTGCCAGATACCAATAAATGCTGGCATTAGCGTGACATTTCTGTTTGAAAGTTGGAATACAGTATTAATTCTAATAAACAGTCAAATCTACAACCTTAGCTAACAGAGCAGCACTTACTGTCACGAACTTCAGAATGACTCACTTAAAAATGACTACGGGTCTTTTACTGACACTTTCATTTTCTACCTACCAGGGAGAAAGTTTTTTTCCTTATATTTGAGATATATTTCATCACCTTATGCATTATTAAAATCTTCTGATGAAGCAGAGCATTCACAGTGGTAGCTTTAATACATTTCATCAGTTCAGCTTACAGCATTTGCAAAATGATTAAACATTTCTTCAGAGATGTACCACGAAGTTGAATCGTAAATTTGGACATATATTTCTCGTGTTCTAATAACTTGTGTTTCAGCAACAGCTTCCCTCAGGAAAACCTGTTTGTTTCTTTTTAAGTAATACGTATGTTTCTATTTATCACAACAATTTATTCTAAAAACTAAACGTTTCTGCCAGACTGGAGAGTGGCAACAAAATGCCATTTTCTCTCCTGACATTAAATAAATAACAATCTGCAAATAAAATTATCCAAATATCTCTGCAATTATACTCTCTCAAATACGCAGAAGAAATGTTCATGTGTGATCTGTTTCTTGGAGGTCTTTTTGAAACTGTTCTCCCTGTTTTTTTCATAAACATACATCACATAGATGCATTTATATTGGCCTTAAGCTCTGCACATGTATCAGACAATTTGTTTTTGGTCTACACTGGCCTTAACCCAGGTCTTGTGGGCCTTACTGAGGTGAAAAAATGTTTATAAAACTGAGGAATGGACCTCCTACAAATGTTCTTTTAAGAAATTGTAGGCATTTGATTCCTTTCAAATCAGAAACACTAAAAAAGCATATTTAAAAAAATTCTTCAGCATTGTTTTCTGGAAGAACTTAACTTGAATTTAGCAAATTAATGTTAATCAAACAGCTCTACTACAAATTAAAAGAGAATGTAAAGTCATCTTCTTTTGTAAAATCTAGAAGAGTTTTATATTCACAAAAAATAAAAAACAATCTCAGCAAGAAACACTTGCAATAAATCAACTTCTAAGCAATGCAGCAGCTCTTTGTGTGATATTGGGTGATATAAACAGAAAATCTGAACATGAAGTTCCATTCTTGGGAAGAAATTTGACAAAGCCACAATGCACTCACCTCATTACAGGGAGATCAACTGCTGCTAATAAAAGCAGATATCTTGGCAAGCCAAATCCATGTAGAAAAATATGGGACTGCTTGTTACAGACAGCTGAAAAACAAAAAGTAGTTGGCTTTGTGGATGTTTGAGTCCCACAAGTGTTAACTACAGGTTAATGTATTTGCATTAATTGTTAATCTCCTTGCTAGCAATGCTTTGGTTTCCAAACTTATTCAAAGTTGCCAGCGGCTTAGGGCTGGCATCAGCTAGAGACCAAGGCTCAGTCAAGAACCATGGTGCTGACACCTGCCCAGAAGGCCACGCTCTCTCTCTATTTACCTTTCAAACATGGCTGATCAAAACCTTTCTTTCCAATTCCATACTCCAGCACAGAAGCACAGTGGTTTCTCCACCATCAGCACAGTGCTGAAATCACAAACCCCACAGCCTCTGTCTGTGTGGGGACACACAGGAGAAGTTCAGGTTTCGACAGCTTGCTTCCGAAAGAAGAGTGAAGGGATACACAGCAGGGAACATGAAGCCTTCCTCAGGGACTGCTTACTGAGTGGCGTCCTATGTCCTTCACACTGCATCCATATTTTTCTCTCCACTGCACACTTGTTCTCCTTCCATACTCATAGTTACATGCCCCTTTTGACATACATAAATCTTAGGACAATTTTTATGCTCATGCTAATGCTCCACACTTTTGAAAAACAAAGTATTCCTCACCGATTTTGTTTTTCCACCTTGAGAAATACTGACTGCTTCCCACACACTGAGTTTTTAAGCAGTACCTGGATTACTTTGGATTAGAGTCAGCTACTGGGCTAATATGTGTAAACAATTCTTCCTAAACATCACAAGATACAAGCAAACGTATGAAACTACAGAAACAGATGAAGAACTTCAACTTTAATCAGAAGTGAGTTGTTCAGAAAACAAAACTGTAAAGAGATATTCTGCAAAGTAAGCTTACATCCAGTGAGAAGAATCACATTTTCTGCCTTTCACTAAAAGTAGTATCTATAATTGAAAATCCAAGTATGTCAAGATCAGATGATTCATTTCAGAAAAAAAACAGCTTGAACTGAAATTGACAATTTCAAAATAAAATTAGATATTTTCAACTCAAAATTCTGCTTATTTTTTCATTAAATATTTGGTGTGAAAAAAAATAATTTGGGACCAAATGCAAATAAAATAATTCAAATTTTATTTCAAGTATGAACCAAGAATCCATCATTTATTCTAACTGTAATACACTGATGTCAGAATTGTTACTATAAAAAGAAATTACACACCTCATCGTAGCCCCAGGTCATAATATATAGAAATAAATGTGTAATTCAGAGATTGCAAATACTGATCAAACTTGAGGTAGTGAAAATAGAACTTCAAATCCCACACCACATCCACATTTGAAGAATTAACTGGTCCTCCTGCCAAGCTGGAAGACACAAGAAAATATTTCCTCTCTTTTGATATCATGATCTGAATAAGATTCTAAGAGCCAACATAGACAACAGTGTCAAAAGGGAAATAAATCTCAATGAAACCAGAAGGAATTAAAACAAAAATCTGAGAACAAAGCGTACAAAGTTTAAGGCCTTGAAATACTTCTTTAAAGGGTACGGGTTGAAAACACATGGAAGTAAACATTGTCATAACCCATATAAAAATTAAGATATTCCCCAAATGTTCTGAAGTAAGCAGTCAGATTGTAGTCTGATGTACATTTAATTCCTGCGGCAAAGTGTTACAGTAACACCTGTCTCTAAGAACCTCCCTAATTTCTGCAGTGCTTTTTATCTCCAGATACTTTATATTTCTTTCAAACTATTAATAGCTGACAGGAAAAAAAAAAAAGTTTTCACTTTTTGTGAAAATGAAAATATGTATTCATCATTCAGTACGACTTTTATCAAATAAAAGAGGCACTGTTTATTCTACCCTTCGGTCTCTGATTTTTTGGAGGAGAAAGTATTTCCTCTCTTTTGATTTTATGATCTGAATGAGTTTGTAAGACCCACTTACCAAGAGAGAATACAGTGTTAAAAGAAGGAGATAGAAGCCCTTGAAAACAGCAGGGATTAACCCAGACATCTCTGGTGGCTTACAGCTACCACTCACTCAAACGAGTTTTAAATAAATTAATTCTTTACTCCAACACTATACTGAATACTCTTCATACAAGAAATCATTCACTTAGTTGACCAAAAGTGGCATGAGTAGAAGCCAGTCTATCGTTTTCCTTTTCTTTGCAAAGTTTTGTTCTTTCCAAAGGAAGTCGGAGAGTCCGACCTTGCAGCAATGCATACGCTGTGCCACTCAGTCCTCATGTGCCCTTCTCGACAAAGAGCAGCCTCACAGACAGCAAACCAACGTCTGCTAGCCCAGCACAACACTGATCACAGAGCATACAACCTGGAAAGCCTGTAATATTACCTTAGAGGACCTTAGAATTTATATAGGTTTTCTATCAAACATTCCCCTGAAAAACAATGTTTTGCTGCCAAAAGCAGCCACGTATTTCGGCAACAAAATCAGCCTGTGTCTATTTACAGCTTTAAGATACTACATTTCAAGGAAACCATCTCTCTACACATCCTTGTCAGGTGGTCTCTTTGTGCTTTGTCCTCTCATTTGTGGCTGCCCTGCAGTCACCTGCCCAAGCAGAGTGAGGATGAGATGCAGTTACGGAAGTGACTGTGTTTGTCTCCACATGTGAGATATGGCACATCAGTGCTCTGGCAGGGATTTCCCACAGTAAGAAAATGTATTCACATAACTCTATTGAAGAGAGAACAGAAAAACCTGAAGCACTAGAAAAGCCATGCGGGAGAAAAATACAGCTTTTGCTAGAGACATATTGTAATTCAACTCTAAAAAACAGCGGACACTTCTACTTGTTTACTGAATTGTTACCAGAAGTCTGATTAAATATTCTAAACTAAAGGTTCTAATAAGTGTTTTAACCTCTGTTAAAATGTATTAAAACACATCTTACAGAATTGAAGAGTTCCCTCTTCAGCCAACTTTATGGATGATGAAGTATTATCCCAGTAATAATGTGGTTATTTTTGTTTGTTTTTTTTCTCTCAATGAATAAAATATAGCTAACTTAGACTTTCATTAGTTTGCTATACTCAAAATCCCAAAAGAAATATAAAAGAGTTACAAACGATTTTTTATGACTCTGACTCCAGGCAATCCATTAATGATGCACTTCTGCCTGTCAATATAGCCAGGCATTGTTCAGGTTTGGCAATGTGTGCCCTTCTGGCACGGCAATAAATGTGTGTTACAGAGGTTCCTTGTATGCTACACTACTTACAAATATTCCTTCTTTATTTCTTTTTTTTTTTTTTTTTCATTTATCACAGCAATTAAGAGAAAAGGCAACAATTCAAAAGGTAGCAATTCAAATTCTAACCCATTTTCTCAATTCTGCTTCAAATATAAGGGGTTAAAGCAAACAAACTGAATTCACTGTACCTTCATTTTTCTTGATGAGTAAATATCTTTTCCACTTAAGGATCATTACAGACAATGTGTGCCTACATAAGTGTGCACGAAGGAAAGACAAAGAATGCATTTTTTAAGAACGGCTCCGGAGGGGGTGTGAGCAGTGCCCTGGATTACCCTCAAAATGTGCAGATGACCATTACCAAAGGAAGTGGAAGGAACAGCATGTTCACCAATTGCAGAGCCAGAAATAACAGAAGCCACACGTTCAACAACAGCCATATGACTACAGGCAGGCTCTGACTGGGCACTTCCCATTCAGGATTAACATAACATTTATGTGAAGCAGAAAAATGCATCTCACTTACCCAAAGCTGTGTATTTCTCTAAGAAGAAATTTCCAAAATGGGAAGCAATACCTCTGGCTTCCTGATTGAACAGACAGACAAACCCCCAGACTAGAAGCACTAGCTGTTGAAGAGGGATTTGAAATGCATGGAGGTATGCCTTGGGTCTGATCCTAAAGATCAGCATCCTCAGCTCACAGCACAAGGAAAAGATCTGACTGGCACTGCGCTCCTATTCACAACATCATTGCTGCCCAAAGTGAAACAGAAGAGCGAAAGTGCGGCAGATGGTTGTGAGGCCCAACACTTAAGGATCCTCAGTGTTTGCACACACAAAAAAATGTCTGCAAAATGCTAATCAAATACACCTCTTGGATAACAAAGGTCTTCAAGATATCTCAAGCAACACACATAAGAATGAGTCCAGAGTCACTCATTACTCCCAAAACAAACCTCGCAGTTTTATATGTTTTTAAAATTTATGTATGAAATTCATTTAATGTTTTCTATTACTCTTATTTTGTCCCAAAGTGACTACAGTACTAAAATCCACAGGAAAAACCTGCATTTTCACTTTATCTTATAAAGTTGGGTCTCTTCAAAAGATAGAAAAGCACAGAGCAGGGGCTGGGCAGAGGGGAGTTCCAGACTGATCACAGCAAGAGGTGGCTGACTGTTCCTCTGTCCCTGGTGAAAGAAGCCCCAAAAAGAGAGGAACCAGGTGTGAGCCTGGTTCCTCCTCAGAGGAACTTCAATTACTGCATGAAATTAAATGCCAATATAAAGTATATAAACTGTGAGTAGATGAGGGCTTGCTCCCTACCAGGAACTGCTGGCTAACTTCCCTGCTTGAGCCTTCAAGGAGAGACCTGCATGCCAGGCGAGAGCACTGGAGAACAGCTCTGTGCTGCTTCAAGATATGATTGCAGGCCTTTGCAGCAAGCCCTCCCAGGAGGACTAGGACTGTGCAACTCCAGGCAGAGTGCCCATCTCTGCACCCTGCTGCAGCCCTGTGGGCCTTGGCCTCCTGCTGTGCTCTGGCGTGTGTCCATGGGTGTGAATAAAGACTTTCTGACTCCAAGAAGAAGATGCGAAGTTTCTAGAATAGACCAACTCCTCAGCTGTGTCTGGACAGGCGATCTGGGCCAGCAGGCTGCCAAGGAGCACTTCAGCAGCCTGACAGGAAAGCTGACAGTGCCAGTGCTCAGCCCTGCCTCTAGTATCAAACTTCTGCTGTGACAGAGATGCCTCTCTATGCACTGGTCCCACTACCCAGTTATTTTCTTCATCTTGTTGCAACATTTTCATTTTCATGCAGTTTTCCAGTGGACAGGCTTCTATTCAGATTTACTGACAAGTTATTAATTCAGGGAAAAAAAAATACAAACATGAAAGTAATATAAAGTAGCCTAACTAAGGTGATGGCGTGTATGAACAAATCAAGGCCAAGCAAGTCAGGAGAAAGGGCCCCAGAATGCAGTGTTTGCCAAAAGCCATTGAGGTGCCCCAGAATGGTTGCTCTGCTGAGGCAGTCCATGATCCTGCCACCGGCAGCCACTCCCAGCTGGGCACTCACCTGCACTGTGCCAACATGGCAACACTTTGCTTTTCCCCTGTCAGCACTCCTGCCAGTGTCTCGGGGACCTTCCCGAGGCAGCACAGCTTGAAACCTCTTTACAGGAAAGACAGAGTGGCTCTGTGGTGCTGCAGAACAGATAGCCTGTGTCACTCAGCACAGGCATCTCCCGTATTCCCCAAGTTAAAAGGAAGCCTCTCCCAGTTCCTCCTGCCTTTCCCTCGCACCAAGTACAATGTGATGCAGCCGCCTGCCCCACGGCCGGGCTCGTGCTCCCGCGTACTTCGCTAAGCCTGAGGAGATTATGGTGCAGTGGACACAGAGGACAGAAGGGGCTGGGGAATAGGTGGCATCGGGAAGGGAACCAGAGGGTCATCAGGTGACCATCACTGCCCTGCGGATGATGGGCCGTGTGACAGGCATCTTCTATGAGGTGCCGGTTGGCTTCTCAGAAGATCTTTTAAATAATAGTAATAATTAAGCAACCCCCCTTCTTTGGAAAGCACCGATCACTGCTGTGCCCGCAGTGAGTATCGCGGGGCTCCCGTCCCGAGGCAGTCTTCGCGGCCTTTGACAGCTCTCTAATACCCACCGAAACAGGGAAAGGCCGACAGAAGCTCTGGATGGCCAGTCCTGCTGCTCGGATAACGCAGCACGGAGATACCACGCAGGAGGGGGCACGGCAAGAGGGCAGCAACGACCGCGCTTGTGGGACACGGAGCTGGGGGCGGCGGGAGGAGGATCGTGTTCCCACTTCTTTTGAAATAAACTCCGAAAAATGTTTACCACTAACGTACCCGGTCACGCGTCCTATTTCGGTACGCGCAGGATATCCTTGAGCGGATGGCGGACATCTCGCCGATTGCTTTGGAAGCGCAGGAAGAAGCCCACCCGACGCGCGCTCCCACGCGAGCAGCTGCTGCAGAGCCGCGCGGCGCGGCCCGAGGAAGGCTACAGCCGCCGCGCGCCGTCGCAGCGCCGGCGCGGAGCCCGCTGCTCGCCGCGTGCCCATTGCTGGGAACTCTGCAAGCTTACTTCCGTCTGAAGGCTTGTACCTAGGAGCAGCCGTCCGAGCAGATTTAAACAGCGAATGCCGGCAACCAGCAAGGAACGCGATTGCAGGCATTCGTTGAAATAAATGCGTTCGTTCCACTCCTTCCGATGCGCTCAGAGCAATCTGCCCATGTCACGCTCACACCAGTTAACACTTTACAGCACATAAGCAGGTACGCATCGAATCCTACGACTAAGCGGGCTCTGAAATGTCTTTTTTGCCCGTTTGTTTTTTTAATTTAAGCAACGTTTTGTTTAAACCCAAGCTGAACTGTACGCTGTCACTGCAGACCGAACACAGCCGGTTCGGTACGGTCAGGGCGCTCCACCCGTACGGGAGACGAAAGGGTCCGCAGCCCGCAGCACCCAGCGCCGCGGGGGCACCGCGCTGTGCCGAGCCGCTCTTCGGCACCGGCCGAGCCCGGCTCAGTCTGGCTGCCCGCCGGGGCTTTTGTTCCCAACTAATTCCCGACGCTGTAACCGACAGCCGAGTCACTTCATGAAACGTTAGACTGACTCCATCTGAAATAAGGTGTTCAAAACACGCATGTGACAGGGACACGGAGAATTAAGAGGGCCGGTTTTGAGGGGCAAACGGCGAAGGCAGGCTGGCGGTGCGCGAAGCAGGGAGCCGGGCAGGGGGCGAGTCGCCACGGCCGGGGCTTCGCGGCCGGCAGCAGCACCGAAGCGGCTTCCCGGCGGCTCCGAGGAGAGCGGCCGCCAGTGCCGTCTGAGCAGACGGAGGCGGAATGGGACGCGCGGCGGGGGCGGAACGGCAGCACCTGCCGCACCGGGCCGGGCTGCGCCCAGCGCTGGGGCCGCCCCGCCAGTGCCTGCTCCCTCCCTCGCTCCCACCCCGGCCGCCCTCGCCTGCCCAGTGCCCATGCGCCCTGGGAGAGGTTTAAGGCGTGCGCGGCGGCAGCTGCGACACAGCGCTGCGGAGGTGCAACCCGGTGAGGACGTCGGCTAGGTTGCGCTGCGCCTGTCTTCGCGCCCGGGAGCGTGCCCTACCACCATGCAGCTCACCCCCTTTCTCCTTGGTGCGTACCGCGTCTACGGGGCGACCCGACCCGGTGCGACCCGGCCCGACCCGCTCTCTATCTCTCCGTAGGCGTCTTCTTGCTCTGCGGCCCCGCGCGCGGGAGTGACAGCTCAGGTGAGCGTGCGGTCCTCTGCCCCGCACGGCGGCAAGACGCGTCTGCGGGGCTGGCTTTGAGAGCCGGCGTGTCCTTTGGGGTATGAGTGGCGCAAAGGCCGGGAAAGGGGGGGGTGAGAATGCAGAGGGGCACGGGAGGTATATGGAAGTGTTTCCGCTCTTCTCCCTCCTGGTCTGAACGTAGCGGTAAAAAACGTGTGTGCCCGGGGGAGTGCCGTGTGTGTGTGTGTGTGCCGCTGTGTGCAGCGGGGTGCCCGAGCACCGACAGCGCGAGGATCCCCAGCGCGATTTTGCCTGTGAAATCGATACGAATTTTGTGCGCCCGCACCGCCGTCAACGCGACCTGGAAAGCAAAGAGCGAACTGAACGCACCTAGCGGTGCGGGAGCTGCTACGTGACCTGAGGGACTGCATCCCCGCCTCTGGAGAACGGGTGTCCGAAGCCTGTCAAACCGAGGCAACCGCGAGCCGCAGGAAACGCCGCAAGAAGTGTCCGACGGATGCGAGCCGCGCGGTCGGCCCTTCTAGCGCAGGGGAGGGCGGGCAGGAGACCCGGCAGCGCCCGCCTGGTTATCGCCCTGTCCGCGGCCGGTGAGTGACCTGCGGCTTCCGGGCGATCGCTCGGGGTCCCTTCAGCAGGAAGCGGTTGTTGTTATCGAGATAATAGCCGTACGTCACAGGACTGCTGTGACTGAAGAATAAAACAACAGAACAGCGACAGAAAACCTACAGCAAGCAACCCCGGTTCCTTTTGTTGTTTTACAGGTGCATCACAGGTGAAATATCAGCGGGAAACAAATGAAAAGTTTTTTGTAATGCTTTCTCCCATGGCTGGAGAAGAAGCCTCTAATTAGAAGGTATCTGGGACCAACTAACGTAATGTTAAGGGGATGCTGGCAAATATGATTGAGCTAGAAGCATGCATAAACTTTTATGGGAAAACAAAAAAGGTTAAAATTCTGACATTCAAAGTAATGCGAGAACATCGAGCTCCCTTGAATATCTGCCTTATTTATGCTTGTAGCTACTCAGGGAGATCTTTTCTCATAGTTCCCTTTTAACAAATACACACAAATACAGCCAAGTACGATGACTGCGGCTGTCATACACGAGATGACTGTATATGGATATATATATGTATATGGCAATGACTGTGGTGGGTGCACACTGACATGGTAGTAAGTGAACTTAATTTGAACAGAAAAGTGCAAACCTCAGATTAAAATAAGTAACACAGCCCTGATGCTTTTTTAAATTGCATTGCTCCTCGTACCGAGATACGTACTGAACATAGCACAAATAAGTATATAATCTATGAACACGCTTTCCAAAATGTAAGCAGGTGTATTTCTACCAACATGGTTTTCTTCTGCTACGGACAAGGCTGGTAGGAATAGTCAATGCATGACATATAAATCCAGGTTTGTCTGAAGCCTCAAGACCAAAAAAAAAAAAAAAAAAAAAAAAAAAGAAAAAAATCAAACAAACCTTTCTGTTCTGAAGAGGAAATTCAGACCTGTATAAAACATACAATAAATAAATAAATAAATAAATAAAAATAATTTAAAAAAAGCCCCTATTTTATGGCCTGTAAAGATATCTTGGTCTTAGGAGTCCCTGACACTTATAACCTACATAGATTTTTTTTTTTTTTTTTTTTTTTTTTTTTCCTTGCATGAAGTCTGATTTTCCAAAACAATACATGGAAATTTCAAGGTTAGAGCTCAAATCTCAGCATTGATTTCATTTTTCTAGAGTCTTAGTGACTCCTGTCAAAAATGAAGTGAGGACTTCTTATAGGTGGGCATAAGACAATGCTATTCAGAGCAAATCAAAGTATGTGGGATGAGGCAACAAAAATATCAAACTGATGGAAAGATTGAAAGCATGGTTACCAGTGTGTCAGCACAGAAGTGAGCCTTCACTTTTTTTTTCTTTTTTTAGGTCTACAGCGAAGGAAGACATTCATCCCTGCCTTTAAATATGGCTTGAAACAGGAAGAAATACAGTTGTTGTTTGTTTTTTTTTGTGTGCAGATTTTTCGGAATGCCTTGAAGTAGTGTCTCCATAAGGCTTAAGGAGTGTGTCTTGACAGAGCGGGTTTATGGTCATTTTTTATAGACTAATGTGTTATTTTCACATATACAGAGGTCTCTGCTTTCCATCGAACTTTAGACTGGGTAGTGGTCTTGGACTGAGTCCTTTCTTGTTAACTGCAAGCTTATCCTTCCTCTATCTAAAAAATGCATGGCTTTAGACCTTAAGCATTCATGAAATTGGTAAGAGTACTGGGTCACATAAGTATCCAGAGAAATATTACAAGCACTGCTGTTCTTGCATTCTTAAATCACAGTGATTATGACGCTTGGGTTGTATGTTACTGGTTCTGCAAAGATAAATTACCGTGGATATGCTAACAACAACAACTACTTTCTTAAATTTGAGTAGCAGTGCCTCACAAAACTTGGCAAGAATGATTACCGTGTAAGCAGGTAGAGAACTATTCCGTATGATCCAGTGTTCAGGTATGATTAATGCACTCTAAGTTCATATTGGGCTGCTTGTGATTTTTACAGGATTCATTAAATAACAGGGAGAAACAAAATCACTGCAAAGCTGGTACCATTAATTTTGGTACCCACTGCTTACTATCTTGATAGTGTTCTTGATAGTGTTCCTGACATTGCTAATGTTAGTTCCAAAATTATAGCTTAGGAAGCTGTATCTACACAGCAAAATAAAATAAACTACTTTTTAATTAACAGCATAAGTACTTAAAGTCAAATTGTATGTTACAAAACTTTCATGGTTGATCCAACTGAGCTGTGAGCTGGTAAAGGTCCTAGCTGCAGTGTGTCAGCTCTTCACACAGCAGCAATTTGGTGTCTCCCATCTGGAGTACCTCTTACAAGGTACAGATGAGGATATTTAGGCAGCCAGTACATAGAAAAGGTATTGGGCTTCAGTATACATCTGTGTTTCCTTGGCTAGAAAAAACATAGCCAGGTTTCTCCATGATCACCACCATCTTCAGAGCGATCAAAAATGTAAAATGTTAGTTTGACATGACTGCATTTAGAGAGTGTCTGCTAGTGAGAGAAACGCAGATCTCCAAGCAATAGGGCATGTGTTAATTAGACATATCCAATTGTATTCATATGTGCAGCCTGCCAAGGAACTCAGTCAGGGTAAGTACATTAGAAGTGGCAGGTATTACAAACTTCCTGTGGTGTTTAGCACTTTTGGAGGCTGGAAAAATGTTCCAGGGCACACAGCACAAGTTGTACTGCAAGACTGGATTACCTTTAGTGCCTATTGCAGTGATTCTTTTAAGAGTATCCAGCTTTCTGGCTGTTGTTTGATGGCCTTGGTAGTTGTCACTTGATGGATGTTATTTCATTATGAAATACAAAATATCTTAGCACTTCTAACTCTGGAACTGATGAGCTTCTAGGTATAAGCATGGTCATTCTGCTTATTTTGCAGACTTCTGTTTTTAAGGCAAAGATGTAAGACTAAACATGGATAGGATGTGGGTAGGGAAGACTGCATAGGGCCTAAAAAAAATTTCTTTGTTTTTAGGAAACTTGATAATAAGACTAAAGAACTTTAGTGGCTCATACTAAGTAGACATCTTCTATTATTTTGAAAGGAGGAAGTGAAAAAGCATTTCCTGCTTTTATTTCCCCCTTCACCTGGACTATATAGACATACTCAGCGTATTTAAGTAACATCTTAGTGGTGACAAATAGCTGCTAAGGTTTTTTAGGAAGATGTAATTAGATAGCTTACTGTAGTTTACATATAGTATTAATGAGGAATAGGTATACTTAAAAAGCAAAACTACACATATGTTCTGTAAACACATCTGTTAAATTTATGCAGCAGAAGTGATCAGACACGCTTCACTGTGTACATTTCCAGCTGTAGATGTTCTGATTGTTAGCTTTAAAGTCAGTGAGATTAGCAGGAGGCACCACAGCAATGTAATCTCTTCCATCTGCTGATTAGGAACAGCACATGCTCCAAAAGCAGTCTTTCAAATAACGGCAGCTTATTTTGGGGTCAATAAACACTTTGGGTTAAGAGTGGAAAGGGTGGGGAGGGAAGCAGGCGTGAGATGGAACGCTAATCCATGAAACACAAGCTCATGGTGTATGTACCTAATTGTTAGCTAGACTCTGTCAGCTCTCAATATCATAGAAAGGCTACAGAAGAGGTTCTTGCACCTACTAGTTCTTAGTGGTGGCAAGACGTGCTCTTGGGAATTTCAGAATATCCAGTCATGAGTTGAACTTATGATGATGAATTGGTTGATCTAAGCTAAAACCCTAACTTGCTATGCTACCAGACTGCACCATTTAGCAGCAAGATGGTAGTTAAGTATACAAGACCTCTAAGTTTTCAAATGAAAAAGCTTCAGACCAGCAGGCAAAACTTAACATTGGTATACACCTGTCTGTGTGTGTAGGTGTATGAACACGTAAGCACAGTAAAAGCCAAAGGACGATAACTTGGGGAGCAACTTTCAAGGAAAAAAAAGACAGAATTCTTACATGAAAAATTCATGTGCTGAAAACCAGTAAATAATTTTAGTCTCACTGACTGAATCTTAGCATTATCTCCACAAATGTGATGATTTAATATTAATTGCAGTGAGCTGATATGAATGTCTGAGATGCAGTTAGTCTTGCTAGAGCAGAAAGATTGGTACTCCCTTTTTGCTTTTCTACTGGCTTCAGTAGGGTTTACTGCAGAAGCTCAGGGAGATGGCTGCTGTCAACCTGTTTTCCATGAATGACACCAGACAGAGGC